ATATGATTCTGTTTTTAATACATTATAAATGTATGGTATTTGGGAGAAAAAATGGGATGTACTCCATGTTTGAAAGGAGAAATTGATGGACTCCATTGAATTAAGTCGGCCTGTGTGTCCAGGGTGAAAATCTCGAAAACCACGCATATACATAGGCGTCGATTCCCGTGGATGAAATTTTCGTAAAATGGCAAATGAATGTGTTTGTATGATAGCTATATTGGTTAGAGACTCACTGCGTTGTATTCTCAGTTTGGTTGATTGAATGAAATGGATATGATTAATGAATTGAGATGAAATGGATATGATTAACAAATTGAGATGAAATAGATTGAGATATAAAGCTTGGCATAGCATGATCTTTGAAATAAAGAGTTGTAAATGATTTGTCACAAGCATTGTATATGCATATCATACTTATATCTTTGCTAAGATTCATATATTGTGTTAGATTATTTCTACTGGGTTTTGGCTCACCATACTTAGGAAAAACTATTTTCAGGTGCTGGTGATATGTCTCCGCCAAGGACTCCATGGAGCTAAAGGCTTAATTTTGTTTATTTTGTATCTATCTTTTGTGCAAGCCTAGTGCTTAATTTGTATCAAGCTTATGACTCATTTTGTTATAACCAAGCACGGTCTTGGAAAGATGTAATCCCTTAGGACATATGAATATCTGTTTAGCTTTCATTTCTTACCACGACTTGTAACACATACTGTAGATTTAGGATGAACTGTTTATGAATGTATATCGCATGTGTCACCTTTTGTATACTAACTCCGATTAATGAAAGTTTCTTATTTTATTTATATCACTTTGTATTAGTGTTTGGAGTTGCATTATTGTACTTATTTTGGGGGCTTTACAATTAATATTATAAAATTAATCATTTTTTTTTTCAAAACCATTCCTAAAATAAAATATCCGTAAATTTAAAGTTAGCATAACTAAATTTTTATATCCCACCGTGCAAAGCTATTGAAAAAAAGAGGGAAAAAAAATTCTCACTGAATTTTAGAATATAGTCAGCATAACTAAACTTTTAAATCCTAACTTGTTTAGTTTCACTTTTCAGGATTCACTTTTTAGAAAATTAAAATTTTTTATTTTTCGTATTTTTTAATTTTCACTAATTTTTTTAATTTTTAGATACATCTAACATAAATACGCTTAAAAAGTATAATATTTGTGAAAAAAAAATCTTTAAAAAATTCATGAAATACCAAAATACAAAAAAATATATATAAAAATTCAATACATTTTTGTATTCTTGTATATTTACTGATTTTTTAAAATATTTTTTTATAAATATTTTACTTTTTAGATACATCTAAGTAAGGTGCATATAAAAAAGTTTAAAATTTTGCTTAAAATTTTAAAAATATTCATTAAAAGAAACAAAAAATATGAAAAATAAAAAAACTCAAATTTCAAAAAATTGAATTTAGAAAATTCAAACCAAACATATTAGATTTTTTATTTTTATTTCTCTTTGTGTTTCCTATTAGAATTCTTATTTTTATTTATCTTTTTGGTTTTTTTTATCTTTTGGTTTTTTATTATTTAAAGGTCAAAGTATTATACTATCATAACAAACCTTTCTAGTACAAAGCAATTCAAAACATATGTACACACTATATAGGAAAAGTGAATCACAACACTTCTTGTTTGGTTTAATTTTCATAATCAATTTTTTTAAAAATTATGAAAAAAATAATAATAATTTGGTGTAAAAAATTAAAATTAAAAAAAAAATGTCCGTCATTTTCACATGATTTTTTTCTTTTTTGGGTGCAAAATTAATTTTTAAATAACCAACATTCCTATTACAAGGCAATTCAAAACATACACATACAAAAAATTAACTTGGTGTAAGAAAATACTCATCCTTATCATGTTATTTAGTGGAAAAGTTTACAAGCACTAAAAAATTGGAGGAAAATAGTTACAAGGGTGTGTATTGTTTTATAAGAGATGTGAAGGGTATTTTGCGCGTTTCAATGTTTATTGTTGTTGATGTCACTCTTTTTGGTTACTTTTGTAACGTGTTTTTAACATAAGGGAGAATCTGACTATACGTTTGTGTAATTTTTAAAAGTATAAGGGAGGTATCTATAATTAAGGAAAATTTCAGGGGAGGTAAGTGTAATTTATCCAAAAACAAATGAATAAAGTTTGATGTTTGTAGATATGTAGTCTGGAAACAATTATAGGAAGAGTTATGCCACAGATAACCATTTTTTTTTTTTTTTTGGTGTATTCATGTATACATAATTAATTGTCAAAGGTTAGATTTAGCTGGAAGAAATTACACTTTCAAAAAAATTATAAACAGGTGAAAAAATTTGTCAATTTTAATAATTACACTTACAAATTTTTCCATAAATTTATAAATATTATATAAAAATACCACTTATTTGTAATTTTTCCATTATAATTTTTTTTTTTAAGTGAAGTTATTGCTAAAAGAATTGATGCTTAAAAAAAGTTTTTTTTAACTTTGGCAACCAAAAGTTTGGTCGCAAAAAATTTATGAAGACCCCACCCCCACAAAAAAAAAAGGTTTTGTTTGTAATTTTTGTGTTGATGTGTTCTTTCTATTTATTTATTTATTTATTTTTGTTTCTAGTGACTTAATTTTTAAATTATTTTATTTCCTTTTTATTTTTTAATCCTTCTAGACCAAAAAAGGACCTGAAAGGTAATAAATTTAATTAAATAAAATTAAATTCACTAAAGACATAAAATTAAATAAAATATGATATTTTTAGACATTGTCAAATAAAAATAAATTTTCCTAAAAACTATAAACAAACAATCTAGGATTTTTTAGTTTAAATAGAAAATAGTTATATAAAAAAATTGTTGCCAAACAGCCCTCAAGCGCGAACTCCAAATATTTTCAAGAGATAACTTAAAAATCTACTTTGGAAATAATAAAAAGAATAATGCTTGAAACCCCTTTTGGGGGTCACCCCTCACCCTCCTTTGCCACGTGACGGGTGGTGATTGGAGGAGCAGGAAAAAAAAGAAAAAGAAAAAGAAAATATAACCAATGAGAGAGGGGGGTCAAAGAGGGTGGAAGAAAAAGAAGGGATGAATCATTATTGTAATAAAAATCACTTTCAAACATAATCAAATATCCACTTTGATTACAAATAAAATCTACTTTTTGAAACGTAATAAAAATCTACTTTTTGAAACTGCTTTTCTACCCAAAAAAAAAAAAAATTGTAATGGAACCAATTATTTATTTATTTAATAAAATATAATAATTTTAATTTTCTTTTCGATGATGCTACATACACCAATTAATATACTAACTACTACCAATACTAATTATAATATTATTATTGACCCCACTGATTAATCACATTACAAATTTCAAAAATCTCTTAAATTATGTCACGTCATCAATTAATACACTGGTTAATATATCAATTGATATATATAACATTATTCTTTTCTTTTTAAATTACAAATCAGTGAAAGAAACAAAAGAAATACATCTTAGTGAGGGAATAAAAAATAAAGGAAATTTACGTATAAATCTTAATAGAAAGATTTATTTTTCAATAGATCCTATAATAATTAATGATATTTTTCATCAAACACTATTAAAATAACAAAAATGCTAGAAGCTCCAAAAATTGTATCAAAAGTTTTACCAAATGTTTCACATGAGTGTAAATTGTGTGAGCCCTACACTCATGTAATACATTTGGTAAAACTTTTAGTAGAATATTTGCAATCTCTAACATTACTCTTAAAAAAATTAATAATTTTTAATTTTTAATGACAATTTAAAAATTATCACAAAAAATGTCACTAACTATAAATTTTAGCAACAGTTTAAAAAAATCAACACAAAAAGCATTATTAATTTTCAATTTTCAACGATAACTTAAAAAATTCATTACAAAAAAACGCCACTAATTATATATTCTAGCGATAATTTATAAAAATCATGACAAAAAAAAAGCTACTAATTGTCAATTTTTAGTGACATACAAAAAATCATCACAAAAAATTATTTTTAGTAATGATTTTATTAAGACTTATTTTCAAAAATAATTGCAAAAGACATGAAATAAGGAGAAAAATATATTATATTAACCAAAACAGCCGTGACTCAATTCATCCAAAGCCTATTTCTTGCATTTCAGAAACACTTGAAATAAAAGAAAATCTGTCGCCCAAAAAAAGGAAAAAATGCACAATCCATTGAAGTGGCATGGCTATAACAAGAGACCCATATCAACCTTAGCAGAGCTGCTAAAACAAGAGACCAATATCAACCTATATATCTCCTACAGCAAAAGGGAAGGCATTTACAATTCAATTGCTCTAAGAAGCTGTTAGCAGCTAAATGGATGCTCTAAATTCATCAGTTGTTTAAAATAACAAAATCTATAGCAGCCATGAACAAGATAGCAAAACCTTAACTCTTGTGCAACAACAGACAAATATTGTCATAATTCTCTGCATACAGAGATCAGAAATCATCAAATAGATTTCTGATACCTATAACAATAGTAAATTAACAGAAAACGCTTCTGCATTTTCTGTAAACATGCAGAAGATTTTTTTTTGTTTTTTTGAATAAAACACGCACAGTTCACAGGAACTTAACAGCTCAGTCAAGTTGGATAAAAGTATTTGCAGCAGACACCACTCTTAAGTATTTAATCCAACATCCAAAGTAAAAACTGTTAGGAGATGCTTCAAGATTCATGTTTAGGGTGCACCTGCTTTGCCACATGGGTCGGCTAAATCGCAGCTCGTAGAAGTGTCGACATTTCTTATATCCTGCTACAGGTAAGGACCTTTGCAGTTTTGGGTAAATCATATCTACAACATAGTCATAACAATGAAATGTGTGTGTGTGTGAGAGAGAGAGAGAGGCCCCTTGGTAGGACTTGAACCAAAAGAAGAAGCAACTAAACTGTCAGAACTAGCTGTGAACAAATGAAACCAATCTACTATCAACCAGAAACAATTTTTGAAAGAAAAAAAAAATTCCATTATAGAATTCCAAGAATCCAATTACACAGTGGACGAAAGCATCCAAAATGTGCAAGCAAAGGAAAACCAGTGTCAGAGGAAATCTCAATTTTAGGTACTATACTTTGACAAATAGCAAATTTTAACCACAAACATCAAGCAACTGGAAGCTGATTTTGATTTGTTCTTTCTCTTTTTGGTTCTTTAGTACTTTGCCTTCCATGTTTCAGGCTTTTAATCAATTACTTCTGGAATTATTACAAGGGGTCGTTATAGCAATATCTTCACTTCTCAAGGCACAAATAAACTTTTGAGTGGGTGCAGCAGCAGACAGAGAGTGACACCATAGAACAATGAGATTTCTACAAATATGTGACTATTGACGGGGAATACTGAGACTTTTCAACACCTAATTGTTTCAATTAAACAGGAAATGATGCTAAACTTACAGACACAAGCTGCAAAGGAAAACTTGGGCAGGAAAAAAAAGGTCATACTACTTCCACATACCATAAAGAATGATAAAAGGAATTTTGGAGTCCCTTCTAGTCCTCCAGAATCTGCTGCCGCTCAAGATCAATAACACTTTCAGTCAACGAACTTACAGTGCCATTCAATTTATCGTTATTGCTCCGGCATTGTAGCAATTGTTCCCGAAGACTCCGTACAAGCTCATTAAGTCTCTGAATGTTCTTTTCTTGTGATAAGATGATCTGCAACAAGTAATGAGCAATTAAAAAGCAAAATAATTCAAATAAAACACAAGACTAAAAGGCCACATAACACTCCGTCCCAAATTGTTGGTCAATTTTTGGCATTCGTGCCCCTTAATCAAGTCAATAAATTATTTATTTTCTCTTTTTAAAAATTTTAAAAAAAAAATCCCCACAAATTAAAAGATGTCAATTAGTTCTTGTAGATAAAGTCTTCAATATCATTGCAAAAGAATAAATTTTAAAATATAAGTGTGTTTGGTTTGAGTTTTTTGAATTAAGTTTTTTGAAAATTAAGTTTTTTGGTTTTCGTATTTTTTTGTTTTTAGTGAATATTTTTAAAATTTTAAACATTTTTTTTTTACTTTTTAAATGCACCTTACTTAGATATATCTAAAAAGTAAAAAATTTGTGAAAAAATATTTTAAAAAATTAATAAATACATAAAAATACAAAAAATGTACTGAATTCTAGTATTTTTTTTGTATTTTGGGTATTTAGTGAATTTTTAAAAGATTTTCCTTATAAATTTTTTACTTTTTAGATACATCTAAGTTAGGTATGTCTAAAAATTTTAAAAATTGCTTAAAAAGATTAAAAAAAATCAGTAAAAACAAAAAAATACAGAAAATAAGAAAGTAGAATTTTCTGAAAAGTGCTTTTTGAAAAGTGAAACCAAGCATATGGATGTCTGAAATAGTGAAAATGGACCAACAATTTGGGACAGAATATATCACAAGAAAAACTGTAGACTTCCATGAGTATTTATTTTATAAATGATTATTAGTATGAAAAGGAAATGCTCAATGGTTAACAAACATTAGACTACAGTGTACTCGCATTCTCTCCAACTAGGGTAGCCTGCAGTTGTTGTGTTCATCAAATAGGGCATCACATCTTTTAACTGTCTAACACATCCCTTATCTTGGTCCTTCTAACATGCATTTTGGTGATTTTCAATGCACTAGTATGCACCCGGCATAGTAACACAAGCATGAGGTTTCTCAATGTAATATTTGTGTCCATCTAGATGCTCTTTGATAATGCTAAATGCAGTTGTATGGAGTATTCCATATACTGTACGGCGATACATGTATTCTTTACAAGCTGAAGTCCTGGATACTAGAGGAGAAAGATTCATTCGTTTGGGAGAGAGAATAATGCAGTGTTGCCTACATTGTCATATGGTCACCAGCCAAAACATGGGCACTGTATTAAGAAAATCTAAAATGGGACCATTAACTAAATGCAAGGTTTCACTCCCCTGCACACTGACCTGAGAATCAAAAACAACTTGATAAATCCAGGGCAGTGATGTAGTAGCCATGAGCATGATTGATGAAAAGGCCAAGTTTCACTCTCCGGAAACCACAAGGGCCCCAATCATTACTCAACAGGAACAATCAAAACTTTCTTTAAAAAGGTGCTGCAGCTAAACTATATGCGTAAAACTTTGAGCCCCTTTATTGTCGAACTGAAACTCTGAAGCTGAAGCTGCAGCTTTAATAAATGAGTGGTAAATTTTCTGTCTCTCACTAAAGAGATAAATTCAGAACCACCCTCAAAAGGGAAGCATGATAATAAAAGCACAAAATAGTTATTTGCATCTATCAAATGAATCTTTAGAAATCCTCTCAAAATGACTCATAGAAAAAATGGCTCGCAAAGGGATTAAGATTATCCAACTGTGTCAGAAAATATATATTCTACAGAATCCGCATTAAGCTTTATTTATGTGGGGATGATTTGCTGTTTGCATCCCACATGCAAGATCACTCAAAAAAAAAAAACTATCAAAATGACTTAAAGAGAGAATATTCGAGAAAGATTATCCAACTGCATCACGAAAATATCTTTCTTAGAATCCGCGTTAAGCTTCACTCTGCAATATTAGACATGTCTACATACGAGAGAATGCTTTCCTGTGTAGAAATTATGATCTGACTCAATTCCAATGAAGACAAAAGTCTTATACAGTGTTACCAGAAAATGTTAACACCCTAGCGATTTATGTTTCGGAATGCATATTCCAAAACATGGTACATTTTTGTTTTATGTTAAAAGTTCTCCTCAATAGGGAATTTAGCGATCCAAAGCAATCTCATAAATTTTTCTACGTTTTTCATTAAAGTTCTCTTTAATAGGGGAAAAGTCAAATATAATGAACTAAAATCTAGGTAGAGTGGAGTTTTGGGTTGACAAAATGTAAAACAATGCATCATAATGTGATGTACCATATTTTAGAGCATGTGATGTACCACATTCCTATTTGTGTTCCTTGTACAAGAATGATCTCCATTCTAGGGTAACATAGGATAGGTCTTATATCAAGATGATGGAAGATCCCTTAGAACAAGAGACCAAACTAAAATTACCATAACTTAAATCTGCATCAATTCCAAGATCTTTCCTTTCAGGAATCTAATACTTAGCATGAATACTCTCAAATTAGAAATCCCTTACCTAAAATTAACGGCATATAAAATATCCTCTTTTTTTTTTACCAAACCCACTCAATTGAAAACCAGATTCCGTATATTCAAGATTGTCACAATCGAAATTGATTTTAGCCATAACAATAGGTAGCCTTTACAATAAAACTTTCGATTATTTAATACAGAATTTAAGGTTCTACAAGTCAGGAAGCACAAATAAAGAAATATTAATGTTGTGTTTGGTTCATGGATTTGGGTAGAGATTTAGAAAGGGAAAGTGAAAAGGTGGATGAAATGTGAATGGAACATAACTATATTTCACACACCTTTTCCTTTCCCTTTTCAAATCCCTATCCAAATCTATGAACCAACCACAGCCTAATATGCTCTAAGGTTAGATTTAATTGGGTTTTGTGCTGAAAGAGTAATATGAATATAGGATTTTTGTGGGTTTGTATTGGGATCACAAAGGTATAGGCTTTTTTTTAAAAAAAATAACGAGGTTTTACAAGGTATTTGGGGGCAGTTTTGGGCACTGTGAACAGTAACTTCGCTGATTTAGTAATCTTTTGCAAGCTAGGGTGCTAGGGTTAAGGAACTACGATGCATGAGGGTCGGATAGGACTAATACAAATCTGATTTTGTGGTCTCACAGGCTTTAGTACAGAAAATTTATTTGAAGGAGGAGACAAAAAAGTCTAGACATCACACCTAAATTTCATATGCATCACATCTGATAAGAAGTAAGCTATTGAGGCCTCTTTCTCTTCCTCCTAATGCGAGACATAAGATCTAGAGTTGAATTGCATCATAAAATTCCGAATTAACTTCAAATGATCTGAAAATTCTCTAAGACATATTCTCCATTGAATTAAAGGTTTATACAGATTTTGGAAACTTTCCACACAAACTAGGATTAGGATTTTTAAATAAGAAGCTACACTTTTTAACTTTTAAAATCTATCTAAAACCAAAAAAATAAAAATTCAATTACATATCAGGATCCATGACTACTCATGGATGAACTCTACAACCTACGTCCAAAAATTCTGCAAATTACCAAAATAACCATTAGTTATAGGACTTAATAAATTACCTAGCATACATAATCATAATATAAAGACCCTACTAAGCCTAAAAACTTAATTATATATATGCTTCCAATTGATCCCCAATTGAGTTCACCTTGAAAGCAACTAATTTTGAAATTTAGTTGCTTCTTCAATTTTGAAACTTATGAATATAGAGTATGTTTTCATCATTCAAGGCTAAAAGTTTTAATTTCAGAATTTTCTTCAAAAGGAATTGTCAGCCCCAATCATCAAACTAATTTTCTATCCAAAAAACAAAATATTTCTTTGAACTTCATGATGAAACTTATATTAGCATCAATTGCCTCAAGGTTAGTAGGCCAAGTTTTATCACATAACTAAAACACACCTTAAATTTTTCAACACTGAAAAACACCTAATGTGTTGCTGCAATATGAAATGAGCAGTTACTCAGTGAAACAATGCTGCTGACCAAGTGACAAAACTCAATATAATTTTAACATGCATATAGATACTGTAGAAATCCCAAAATTGGGTGAACATTGTAGTTTTCAAACTAACCAAACCAAGCCGTAAGTCCCATCAAATTTAGTCGGCTACATGAATCCTTCTTCTCCATGTGGTCCTATCAAAGGTCATTTCTCTAGTCAAATTAAGTAGATCCATATCTCTATTTACAACGCTAGCTAACGTTAATCTAGACCTACCCCGTTCCCTAACACTTCCATCTACCGTTCCAGCATCGCATCTCTTTACTACTGCCTATATTGGTCTCCGCTAAATATGACCAAACCATCTCAATTGATTCTCTCTCAACTTATCTTCTATCGGTGCTACTCCTACCCATTCCCGAATACACTCATTCCTAATTCTGTCTTGTCTAGTCTTGCCACACATCCACCTTAGCATCCTCATCTTAGCCACACTTATCTTATCTACATGTTGTTTTTTGGTTGCCCAACACTCCGTGCCATATAACATTATTGGTCTAATAGCCATTCTATAGAACTTATCTATTAGTCTAGTGGGTATTCGTTTATTGCACAGTACTCCAGACGCATTTCTCTACTTACACCATCCCACCTTAATCTTATGGGTCACATCCGCATCAATCTCCCCCGCTGTTGTGATAATTGACCCTAAATAACGAAACTGTTCACTCTTAAGCAGTTCTTGGTTCTCAATTTTCACTTCTCCTCTGCTTTCATTGTTACTGTTACTAAATTTACACTCCATGTACTCTGTCTTAGTTCTACTTATCCGGAATCCTTTAGATTCAAGAGCTTTTCTCCAAATCTTCAATTTTGTATTTACTCATTCTCTAGTTTCATCCACTAGCATGATATTGTCTACAAAAAGCATATGTCATGGCACGTCATCCTGAATATTTATCGTCAACTCATCAATAACTTAAGCAAAAAGATAAGGACTTAAGGTAGATCCTTGGTGTAACCCTACAGTGATGGAAAATTCATTTGTCTCTCCAGCAGGTGATCTAATAGTGGTCATCACCCCTTCATATATGTCCATAATCACATCAATGTAACATTTTGTCACTCATTTCTTCTTTAACACCCACCATATGATATCCCGAGGCACTCTATCATATGCTTTCTCAAGATTGATAAACACTAAATGAATGTCTCTTTTCTTTTTTCTAAACTTTTCTATTACTCTCCTTAAAAGATAAATCGTTTTCATTGTTGACCTGCCAAGCATAAACCCAAATTGATTCTCTGACACCTCTGTTATTTCTCGCAATCGGCGTTCCATCACCATCTCCCACACTTTCATTATATGACACATTAGCTTGATTCCTCTACAGTTGTTGCAATTCTGGACATCTCCTTTATTCTTATAAATTGGCACTAAAATACTCCTCCTCCACTCATCTACCATGTTCCTAGTCAACAAAATTTTGCTAAACAACCTAGTCAACCAAGCAACCCTTTTCTTATCCAAACACTTCCAAGCTTCGATAGGGATATCATCGGGTCCTAAAGCCTTATTTGATTTCATCTTCTTAAGTGCAATCTCTACTTTAAAGTTCCTAATCCTACGATAGAACCTATAGTCTTGGTTTATCGTATTACTGGTTATTTCTTTCCCTATTGTCGTACTTCCATGTTCCTGATTTAACAGTTTCTCAAAATAATTCTTCCATCTTTCCTTAATCTCTTCATCCTTCACCAATACCTTAGAATCCTCACTCTTGATGCACTTAACTTGATTAAAATCTCTTGTTTTCCTCTCTCGTATTTTAGCAAGTTTGTATACCCTCTTCTCTCCCTCCTTACTATCTAGTCTAGTGTATAGGTCATCATAAGCTTTTAACTTAGCCTCTCTCACTACTTTCTTGACCTCCTTATTAACCAATCTATAGCTCTTAAGGTTTTTGTTAGTTCTACCCTTCTGCCACTTTTTAAAGCACTCTTTTTTTGCCTTAACTACCGCTTGAACCTCTTCCCTCCACCACTAAGTTTCCCTAGAGCTGGGTCCCATTCCTTTCGACTCTCTAAGCACTTCCCTTGATATTCTCCTCATACAATTGGCCATCGAGTTTCACATAGTATTAGCATCATCTTCCAAATCCCAAGTACCTTCCTTATCCATTCTATTCTTAAATATTTCTAGTGTATCCCCTTTTAGGTCCCACCATCTCGTCTTACGACGCCCACCATCCTTCCTAGCTTGGTATTGCCCTTTAAAACATAAATCTAGTACTAAAATCCTATATTTAGAAGTCAGGCTCTCTCCAGGAATCACCTTAAAATCATTGCATTTTAGGCAGTCCACTTTTCTAACTAAGAAGTAATCTATTTGGCTCTTAACTGACCCACGCTTAAAAGTTATCAAATGCTCATCCCTCTTCTTATACATAGTATTGGCCACCACCAGGTTAGAAGCCAACACAAAATCTAAAATACTTTCTCCAGCCTCATTTTTGTCACCAAAACCGTATCCACCATGCACCCTTTCATAGCCTAGCTTATCTATGCCTACATGGCCATTAAAATCTCCACTTATAACCAGGTTTTTTCCTACGGATATCTCCTGTAAGATCTCATCCATTTGCTCCCAAAAATCCCTCTTAGTCTGATCATCTAATCCTACTTAAGGAGCGTATGCACTAATAACGTTTACTATATTCCCTCCAATAACTAGTTTAACTAACATAATCCTATCCCCTTTCCTAATGACCGCCGCTACATTCTCCACAAAATCCTTGGCAATTATGATTCTTACCCCATTCCTACGTCCATCCTTACCATTATAATACAGTTTAAAACCGATATCCTCAATTTCCCTAACTTTCTCACCCGTCCACTTAGTTTCTTGTACGCAAGTTACACTAACTCTCCTCCTAATCATAACATTTACCAATTCTATCGTCTTACCAGTTAAGATTCCTATATTCCAAGTGACTACTCTAAACTTGTAGTTTTAAAGCTATTTATAAAAATGTTACCATTTTAAACCTGTTTGGAAAAATACAATAATTTTTTAAATCACAACTTGAAGATGCAATTTTGTGCTGAGTTGGCGAGATACCATCTTGACAACTTTGCCAACGTGGTGAAGTTGAAATTGCCTGTTGATTTGCGATTTCATTATATGGTGAAATCACAGGTTCAACTTTGCAATTTCAAACAAAATTACTAGTTTAACCTATGATTTCCCCCCTAGTCTAAATAGTTAACTGGATTTCACTTTAGGATAAAATTGCATGCTAAATTTGTAATTCACTCCATGCTTCTAAAACCTCCTACTTAAGACATTCTAACCAACCTAAGAATGAATTTTAACTGTAAGAAATTGCATGTTGAACTTGCGATTTCAATTCTAGCACATTGGCAAAGTTTGCATATGGCCAACTCTGTACAAAATTGCAACTTCAAGAAGTGATTTTAGATGAAATCAGGATTTCAAAACCAGAGAGTCTCAAAACTACAGCTTTTTTACAAATAGTTTTTGTTTAATGCAATATTCAACCAAAAGACTCTACTTAAGTTTCCATAATCCCTTTTTTTACAAACAAAAAAAAAAAAAAATTGCAAGGTTGGATTCATAGTTTGAACATAAAAAACTACACAAAACCCAACTAGGTTAAAAATGCATTCAATGCAATATTACATCAATGTCGAGATAGCAGTCAGGAGACTTGATTACCTTCTCTTTAACAGCTTCTTCTCTCTTGGAAATTTGTTGTTGCTTCTGGGATACATTCGGATTCGCCTCAATATCACTCACAAGTTGTTGCTTCCATTCAAATTGAGATGTAATTATCAGTATAATCAAGAGAAAAACAAGCAACATTGGTCTTGACATCTTTATTATCTCCTCTCACAACACCTGCCCCCCAAAAAAGCAAAATTGAACAAAGCAAACCAAAAAACATATCACAATTCACAACCCACATTCATTACAGTGCCAAGAATAAAACCCTAAATCCTCTGTTTTCTTGCTCGGAATTGAGTGAAAGTTGAAGAGAACTGAAAAATTGAAATATCCCCAAAGCTTAATTCAGCCCTACACTAAAAAAAGAAAGGTTTTGTAATCGATTATGCTCAATTTTCCATTGTTTTTTCAATCAAATGGAGATCGGAATTGAAGAGAACTTACAGATCGGAGTTCGATAACGAACAGCATCTAATCAATCACACATCAAGACTCTTCTTTGTTGTTGATTTGGGCTAAATCGAACAGCGTGCGACCTTCAGAGAACTCTCAGAAGAACTCTGTATTTGATGGCTGTACAGTTGGTTAGGACCAATTTTGGGGTTTAACGAACTTAAACAGATTGTAGTGAAAGTTGATTTTTACAGACTCTGCGTACAAATGCAAGAGAGAGAGAAAGAGAGAGAGAGAGAGAACCAAACAGGAGAGAGAAGAACGGTGGACTCTTCGGCAGAAATGTTGGGGAAACACTGTGGCACCGTTTGGTAACAAGGTTTCCTTTTGGCTATTTTAGTCATAGAAAATAAAATAAATTGTTTTACTCATAACAAATAAAATATTATATTTAACTCATAATTATTATATTTTTCTCTTATAAAAAAAGTTAAAAGAATTAAAAAGTCAAAAAATTCTTCCGAAACTAAACTTTTAAATCCAGACTAAGCTTGTGTTAGCAAGTGGGTTTGCAGATTTTTTTGGCTATTTTAGCCACAAAAAACAAAATAGGCTATTTTAGTCATAGCAAACAAAACATCACATCCAACCCATAATGATTACATTCTTCTCTCACAAAAAAACTTTAAAAAGTCAAAAAGTCAAAAAGTCCTTCCCAAACCAAGCTTTTAAGCCCAGGCTAAAATAGCCAAAAAAGCTAAAAAGCCAATTCACTTCCCAAACGGAGGCTAAAATAATCAAAAAATTCAAAAAACCAATCCACTTCCAAACGGAAGCTATGTAAATTATAATTTTTTAAAAAAATAATCTGTTTGTTTGATTGTGGTTTTAGAATTCACTTTTTTAATTTTTTATATATTTTTATTTTTACTAAAGTTTTTAATATTTTAATTAATTTTTAAAAATTTTAAACATACTTAACATAAATATACTTAAAAGATATAATTTTTGTAAAAAAAAATCTTTAAAAAATGTACTAAATATCAAAAATATAAAAAAAATGCGAAAATTCAATATATTTTTCATATTTTTGTGTATTTATTAATTTTTTAAAATATTTTTCTCAAATATTTTTCTTTACTTTTTAGATAGATTTAAGTAGGGTACACTTAAAAAAAGAAAAAAAAATTATTTAAAATTTAAAAAATATTCATTAAAAATAAAAAAAAAAAACAAAAAATAAAAAACTCATTTTTCAAAAAATTGAATCCAAACACATTGAATATAGTTTTAATTTTTTAAGTTATAATAAAAAAATGTCATAATTAAATACAATTAATGTATAACTAAAATAAATTCATAATTAAAAGAAATGGGTAAATTACAAACACACCTCTGAGGTTTACTTAAATTATAAACTATTCCTTATAGTTTTAAAAATTACATTATGCCCTCTAAGGCTTCTAATTTCATAGAAATAGGTTCTTTTATTAATAAATTATCAAGTTAATTAACTATTTTTAATAATGTTAAAATTTTATTTCAATTAATAATTCAGATAATTTTATTATTATATAGGTCAACAGTTAGAAATTTCACTTTTTCAATTAATTCTGTTAAATAAAAAATTCTAACAGGAAAATATTTATAATTTTCTAAATTACATGAGACAATTTATATTTTAAATAAATTTCAAAAAATATATTTATAATTTATTTTAAAAAATAATCATAATTAAAGAAAAAAATAACAAAAATACATATAATATATATTTTTTAAAGAGATGTATATTAAAATTTCTCAATTATATTTTGCCCGTGTAAATTTATCTAGTGTGCCAAATTCAATTTTAATTGGTTAAAACAATAAATTCCACCACTTTTGTGTGTCTTTTGAGGATATGAATGGATAAGTGTGAAGCAATGCTCTAGCCACTATTCACCCAAAAAATGCTCTAGTCCACCAAATGCTTTCACATTCTTGGTTCGGTGTCACTCTGTTTTGTGGGCCCATGTTAAACAAGTAAAAAAAAATTACAATTATGTATAAATTTAGGTAAATTACAAATACATCCTTCAATATTTAGGTTTAGTTTGGCATATATTAAAAAAATTAAAAAATTAAAAAGTTATCACTATTCATCAAAAAAAATATTAAAAAAATAATTTAACACATAATTACATTTCAGACAACTCTGCCGTCCCACAGGCGGAGCCACCTTTTTAAAAAATTGCACTTATTTAGGTAGGTAAATAATACGGTGTTGTTCGACCCGTAGGGGTCCATCACGGGTCCTGTTTTAATAATATTAACCGTTCAATGTATAGAACTCATCGAGTACTATATACTTGTAAAAAAACCCACGTTGATCGGATATCGGTAACTATATGATCAAATCAGTTAAAGTTTATAAAATTGATGGTATTATAGTTAACGGTTGAAAAAAAAACTAATTCGATCAGATAACTATCGATATCCGATCAACGTGATTTTTTACAAGCATCTAGTATTCGACGAGTTCCACATATTGAACGGTTTTAATTAGCAAAACGGGACCCGTGGTAGGGCCCCAAGGGCCGAACAACACCTCCAATTCAATGCCCGAAAAGCAAGGAATCATATCCCAGGCTACACTCCACACTGTCTTGAATTATCCCACCGTACCGCCTATTCCATCTCAATCTTCTCATATACACTAATTTATACAATTTTTTAATACATATTTTTTCATAAAAAGTCAAAAAGTTATCCCAAACAACCATTTTTTTTCTCAACTTTTTAGTCCAAAAAGTCAAAAAGTGCACTTATTTAGGATACCCCAAACAACCCCTTAATTAAAATACAAATCGTTCTTTGTAATTTTGAAAATTACATTTCACTCCATGAAATTTCTAATTTCATAACAAATCGTCATTTTTATTAATAAATCATCAAGTCAATTAACAGTTTTTAATGATGTTAAAAATATGTTTCAATTCATAATTTAGGTAATTTATTATTGTATAAGAGATCAATTATGAACTTTATTTTTTAGTTAATTATGTTAAATAAAAAATTCTAAAAAAATGATATTTGTAATTTTTCAAACCACATGAGATAATCTATATTTTAAACAATTCTCAAGGGGTGTATTGTAATTTACCCTATAAATTTTTACAAAAGGAAAGGCTTCTCTTCGATTTAAATTAGATTAGAGAGTGTTTTGGGTCTTCTCACTACAGAGCCTCACGTCCATAATTCAAACCTTCCAATGTGTAGAATTTGTCGAATATTTTATTCTTATAAAAAAATCATATTAATTGGATATCAATAGTCACTTAATTAGATTACATTTGTATCAACAAACTATCAATATCAGATCAAACGAAATTTTTTACAAGGACTAAGTACTCGACAAGTCCAACATATTAAAATGGTTCAAACCATCGATCTGGGTTTTATGGTGGTTCAATTCATAATTTAGGTAATTTATTATTGTATAAGAGATCAATTATGAATTTTATTTTTTAATTAATTCTGTTAAATAAAAAATTCAAAAAAGAGAATATTTGTAATTTTTCAAACCACATGAGGTAATCTGTATTTTAAACAAATCTCAAGGGGTGTATTGTAATTTACCCTATCAATTTTTACAAAGGGAAAGGCTTCTCTTCGATTTAAATTAGATTAGAGAGTGTTTTGGGTCTTTGTAGGCTCACTACAGAGCCCCGCGTCGATAATTCAAACCTTTCAATACATAGAATTTGTCGAATATTTTATTCTTATAAAAAAATCATATTAATTGGGTATCAATAGTTACTTGATTAGATTACATTTGTATCAACAAACTATCGATATCAGATCAAACGTAATTTTTTACAATGACTAAGTACTCGACAAGTCCAACATATTAAAACGGTTCAGACCATCGATCTGGGTTTTATGATGGTCCCACAATGGCCTAACAGCACAACACCTGTTAGTTTGGAAACCCAAGAAAATCCTCTCCTTTTTACAAAATAATTAGAAATTTATGCAAAATTTAAAATTTAATTATTAAAGTTTTCAAATTTTGATTTTTAGATTTTTAGATTTTGATTTTTCTGGCTATTTTAATATATATTTACTTCAATTCATTGTTGGGAAAATAAATAAAGCCTATGATATCTAACCTGGGTTTTTTTTGTTATATATTTATATGTTTATATATCCCAATTTTTTATTTTTTGGGGAAGAGAGGTTTGCAGGTTTGCTTATTTTAGCTGATTTTTGCTCATCTGGATTCACAGACGGAGTGCTTACAATAACATCTCTCAGTAGAGAATTTGTGTTCTTGATCTTACAATTCCCAGATGAAGAAAAGTTCAAAGAGACTGTTCACAAGTAGGTGATTTTATATTGAACTTATGTGCATATAACTCGTTTGCTTATTTGTCAAATGAGTTTTCCTAGTTTTGTTTTTTAAAGAAAAAAAAAATTAATCCATAAATGGTTCGCATATTTGCGAATCCTATTCGCACAAGTTACAACTCGTATCACGGACGGGTTCAGTTTTTTCCAAACTATAGATATGCGAATGCGTCTAAACCACAAACTAAATCGTCCAAAACCAATCTGCAACCACTCTTAAACTAGTTGTTCAATTATTACAAATGATTTTAATATTTTATGAACTGTTGAAATAGGAGGGATGAAACAAAAGAAAGAAGAAGAAAAAAATGAGAAAAAAGAAGAAGAAGGATTATTATTGAGCTAGAAGAAAAAAAATTGAAATAAAGATGGAGAATAAACAAAAAAATGAAATTTGAGTTGAAGATTCAAGTTGAAAAGAAAGTAATTTTGAGAATTTTAAATATATATTTTTTGTATTTATTTTTGTAAAATTAGTTTTTATAATTTAAAAAAAAAAATTGAAAACATAATCGAATAAATTGCTTATTTTTTTTATTAAATATTTGTCTTATTTTAAAAGAATCATCAGTATCATTTTAATGGTTACTAATTGTTGGCTACATATTTTGTAAAATCCAGTTACAGCTCGACACGTGGCAGAGTAAGGGTAATAAAGGAAGGTTATTCAAGCCTTTAATCCTGATCGTACACGTGGCAATAAATATTGGTCCTCACATGATCTGAGTAACACTAGATCAATAACGGGATGCAAGATGACATATTTTCAACGGTTACTCATATTCAAATTCAAGTACAAGAGGGAAGCTCAACTGCCAGTAATGGCGTAATGGAGCTACTTGTAAGGAAGCATGATCAGCGATCATGGAGGAGCAGTTCGACGGTTCGAAGTGCAGTTCGAAGGTCATCACTGACGAGTATAAATAGCAGGGTAGCCCCCAGAAAAAAAGGACGGACTCAAATCATACAAAT